TCTGCTGCTGCTGCCAGTTGACACTAGAGTTGGGTTTAGGGGATTCTGATGTCCGCTAGTAAGTAGCTTCTGCTGACGCTGCTTCTGCTTCTCTCTGGCGGCAGTAATTGCGGCGGCATGTGAAATATGAGATAAACTCCAAGTAAGGCCAAGTACCAGCTACAGCTACAGGCTGAAGCTACACAAGTCACTACGGCTGCCTCAAAGCATGTGGCAAGTTGTTTAGAACTAACCAACTAGCAGGCAAGCCAGGGGAACTATACGACAGGCAGGCGACAGGCGACGACAGCATTTTGGTGCCACTTTGCGGCTGAATGCGAAATAACTTCGCACAATTGAGCATGCCGACAACGACCATGGCATGGCCCCACGACCAACTCCGAGTCAGAGTCGAAGTCAAAGTCGGAGTCCAAGTCAGAGAAGGAGTTGCAGTCCCAGTCCCAGTCACAATCGTAGTCGGGAGTGAAACAACTCCCAACTTGGGCATTCTATTAAATTAATCGTCAATTATCAACGGAGCCTGCAAATTATCTTTGCCTATGGGGAGCACATCACACGATGCAGGAAGCGACCAAACAACCAACCAACCAACACCTTTTGGCTGCTCAAAAGAGAAAGCAAAACAGAACACCAAAAGCAAAGGCCAAAAGAAAAAGCCAAAACCCCCAAAGGATAGATCGAATAGATAGTTGATGGAGCAACTTGTTCTCCTACATGCACTCGGCTAGAAATGATTATTCGATCAGCAAGAGCAGGAAACATGACACCAAAGGCAGCAGAGCAAAGCATATTTAATCTCAATCTGAAATATTAATCCACTCCATGTGGCCACTCCAAGTACAAACTCCCGAAAGCAAACTCCTTTTTGTTACTCTTCAAATCAATTCAACTTTTGGGGCCAGTTATAATTGAGCCACAAAAAACTATTTCCCCAGCCCTTCTCAAATTATTTCTGGGCAAGCTCTTTACATGCAATTGAACGTTTCGTGGCAGGACCCTCTAGCAGGACTCTCTCTTACTCTCTCTCTAACTTTTTCGCTTGTTCAATGTGTTTAATTAAATAGCAAGCGTAATTAAATTGCAATTAAATTAATTAAAAAGCACACTGCCGCAGCACGTTAGCTCCAGCTCCTGGGTACTGGGTACTGGGTCCCGGGTCCTGAATCCTGGTCCCGACCGACGACTCCTTTTGTAGGGTCGATTTTTTGAGTAGGGGTTTTTCCGTGCCGCTTTAGGGGCGGTGTGAAAGGAAAACAAAACAAAAAACACAATGTTGCCCAGGACTTGAATTCCCTTTTCTACCACCACGGCAATTTTCCTACATTTTCCCTGGCTGTTGGCAGCCCGTTTTTCCCACTCCTCCTATCGTACAATTAGACTTTAATTTTTTATGAGCAATGAATGGTTTCGCAGTTTTACTTTTTGGTGTTAAATACTTGATTAAGTTGAATGAATGGGGGGGAAAAGGCTATGCAAATTTTCCGCACCTCCTCCCACGCTTTTTCACGAGGATAAGGGTTAGGGGTTGGGGCTGGAAAATTGCCGGCTTTGATGTTAGGGTAAACGCGGAGCGGCGGAGGGACGGGGCAGTGGCATATTGAAGAACAATTCTTAATTAGTGCAATGACAAAAAGTTTACTTCTAGCCCTGAGATGGTAAATGCAGGCCAAAAGATCTTGATAGAGAAAAGGAAATGCGGGTAAGCGAAGAAAAACTCACACAAGCTGGCAGATTTTCCCTGCCACACCCCCCCAAACATTAATTGGCTAGCGGGTTCTGAAAAGGGGTTTTTGGGTGGTTTCAATGGAAAATTTAGTGTTCATTTGTCAAAGATGGTGGCGGTTGTGTCTTGAAGGGAAAGTGGTAGAATATTCGGATGGATTCCATGGGGACCTCATCGAAATTCTTGCTAAAAAGAGCGTTGCAATAGTTTCTAAATTATATAGAAATGTATTACAACTTATAAAATCATTTATTTAACATAATTTCGCATAAACCGCCTTTATTTCCTTAAGCAACCTCCAAAGGGCTTTTCAAGGGCATAAATCCAATCCGACTCTGGAGAATTTCCTGCACAAGCTGCACTGTAATGTGCAGTAACAAAGCCACATGGCACGTAGGCAAAAATGAACAAATTGAATTGCGGCAATTACTTGCCACGCTACGCAAAATGAGCAGCAATACGAAAAGGGGCAAACACAAAACAGGAAGAGGCAACGAAATATCCAAAATGAAAATGCACAGGCAAAAGTCAAGTTCATAAAAATGAAATCATGCCACAGCTCAGGCAGAAGATCAAAGAGGACAAATCAATAAAAGCCAAAGCGCAGAAATAACTTAAACTCAGTCAGTCAATCGGGTGGCAGGGGGCAGCGTCAGCAAAGCCAAGAGTCAAGCTCCAGGAAGACCAAAACACACACACACACACAAGGAGGCTCAGGCACAGTCATGGACGACCCCAAAAACAGTGTTGACCTGGTCAAGGCTAAAGGCACATAAAATAAAATTATACAACAAGAGACGGGACACGGGGTGCTGCTGTGAGGATGGAGTAGAAAACTAAAGCAAAACTGTCTTTTGATCTATGGCTGGCTACAGAGAGTACGGTTGTTGCTTGCCCCTCTGCCTTGGATGATGATGATGATGATGATGACGATGCTGGGGATGAGCCGCAAAGTAGAGCAGCCTCAGACTGAGCCTCAGAAATCTCCCCAAGTAAATTGGCATAAGAAATCAGAAATCACAGGAAGGTCTCTCCTCTACTCGGACTCTGTTCTGCTCACTCTGCTTCAGCTGTGAGATAAATGGTCATGGCCTGGACCTGGTCCTGAACGTGGACCTGGACGTGGACTGGACCGTACCGTCTCGGACCAATGCAATATTAAGTAAATATACAAAACGTTGTCGGCACGGCGCACAAAACTAATGATGTCGATGATGCTGCGGCTCAGGATTGGGGGGCACACACACACACAAGTCGGAGGGGCCTCTGATAATGATGCGGCAGGCAGACAAGCAGAGAGAGAGAGAGAGAGAGACGGGCAGCGACTGAGGACTTGGACACTGGCGATATACACACGCCAGGTAATAAATTTCATTTCTCAGCTGATATGGGCAATTAAGGAACAATTTTGCAGCTGAATGAGTAATAAATAAAAATTGTATGCCACAGCCGCTGAAGATACGCAGATACAAAACTGCAAAGACGTCGACGGTTGTCCGGTTGCTGTCTACCCTGTCTCCCGATTGTCGGTCGTCAGGCGGCTGCCAGCCTGCCATCCAGCCAGCCAACCAGCCAGCCAGCCAGGCCAGGCCAAAGACGATAGTTTTTGGGATAAAAATATACCAAAAACAAACGAGCGAGTGGCCACCAGAAGGAGCCCATGAATGAAATGAATGAAGAAGGCATGGCAGGGCGCAGAGGGTAACTCCTGCAGTTGGGGGCTATTTTTTTTCTTCTTCTCTGACCGTCTTCTCTGTGTCTTCTGCATGCCTGCCCTTTTGATGAAAACAACTCAATGACGTGATTTGTGCCGCCAACGATGTTGAGAAGAGACCAAGACCAAGACCGAGACTCGAGACTCCAGACTGAAAGACGAGACGCGATGTTGGACGTTGAATGTTGGCAAAAGGCATGGCCATGCCCACATCGTTTCTGGCTCGTATATAAATCACATTTACGAAACCGAAAATTGATGTGCAAAATTCTTAAGCTATGAGATATCTGGGAAAAGGGTTTCTTCTTAGATTTTTAAGGCTGCGAAATATTTTTGCATAATAAATCAAACTTCCGCGGGTGTAGCACCGAAGGAAGTCCATCAAATGGCTGATCCAACAAGTTGTCTGCTCTTTTGGCATTATTTTAATTACACTTTTTTGGTACCACAAAAAAGACACACTGAGAATGGGAATGAGAATCAGAATTCAAGTCAAAACAAGAGCCCAAAAAGGCAAAAGGTATTTTTTAAATGCCGCACCAAGTGGATTTGGCTAGAAGGATCGAGACGGAAACATTTTCGGAGCCTTTTGGGTAACACATGATATGTCGCCTACCTGGTGGAGGATGCCTTCTCCCAGAGCTGCAGGCACTCGCCCGAGAGTACAGAACAATGGAGAAGAGACCCCAAACATGACACTCGACGGTGGGGCATGAGGTTTTTGTGGAGCAACAAAAGCCCGTTTCTGGCCACTGGTCAAGGCGGGAGGATGTGAGTGTGCCACAGAGAAGGAAGGAAGATTATCACTGGAAGCAGGGCAGGGGCAAGAGTTACAGAGCAAAAAGGAATCCAAGGGAAAGAGTAGCAGTTGCAGGTTGCAGGGAGAAAGAGGAGCAGGGGCTTTGGCCCTCTGTTTAAATGTTCTCCATTTTACTGTCAAGTGGGGACTCTCGGACCAAGCAGCAATCGGACCGGGTTTGACATTTTCCAACGATGCAACCTGCCCCTGGGACACCGACACCACCCGGCATTCCCCCATTCCCATGAAGCACTTCGCATGTCCAGAATTTTAATTTAAGTATGTAAACTGACATTGAATAGTTTTTCACCAGGGAGTTTTCCTTGCACTCGAAATAACCGTCTCCAACTTTTGCGAGTGAAAAGTGTTAGAATGTGTGGGGGAAAAGTGCAATTTTAGGTTTTGTTTGCAATTGGATTTTGTAATAAAAAGCTTCAGCAGTAGCTAAACTTTTGCAACCCAAACCAGTTGAGTGTGGAAACCAGTTCAGATACATTTAATAGATACTTCAGTGACCCCTCGGTACGCTCTGTTCATGACAGTTTCATGGAGTTTCAAATCCGCAGAGAGTGAGAAAGAGAAGCTGCTCTTAATGGGGAAGTTATTTAAGGATATAATTTAGTTTGAACAAAGCATGGACCACTGGAGTACCCTGTACCCACTGGGGGGAAGCGATGTGAAGCTACTGAAGTACAGCCCAAAGGACTTTGGACTTTTGCCACTCATTAAATCGACAAATAAAGCGAAAAGAAATAAATGCTTACCGGTGTTGAATATGGATGCGCTGTCAGACGCACTCCGTCCGTCTCCAGCTGTTCGCCCAGCACCATCTCCAGGTCGTTACTGGGCGGCGTTTCACAGAGTATCTCCATGCTGCCCGACAGTGAGTTCGGATCGTTGAGCATAAAATATACCGAGGCGGCGCCCTTCTCCCGCAGCGAGCGTATGCTCTTCAGGAGTTTGTGTCGATGGGAAGGATTCTCAACGCCGATGGCATCCAGATCGGGATCACCGACCTGTTTGCATATCTCCAGGTCATCATAGCCATTGTCGAGGAAACTTTCGGCATATTGGGCCAGGCCCAAGGCACGTAGCCATTCGCAGACAATGTTGCTAACGGCCATCGTCCTGATGATGATGTTGATGAGGAGGCGATGATGATGATGATGACTCTGTTGTTGTTGCTCGTAATGATGGAGGGGGTGGGGAGTGGCTGTTGTTGTTGTTGTGGGGCGTGTTAGCGGACGTTTTGTTGTTCTTCAGTTCACGTGTGCCGTCTGCCAATTACCGTTACAAAATGGCGTCGTGTGTGTCACGTGCTCCTTACAAGAAGGTGTTCCAACCAACCCTCTTCTGCCGCACAGCTTTCCTTTCTTTCCTTTATTTTTTGCTTTGTTGTTACTGTTTTTTTTTCCCCGTTATTTTTCTATGGCTAAGCATGCAATTTCCTTTGCGTTACTTTAAGCATTATTTTCCTGCCTGAATTGTTTTAAATTGCTGCTGCTGCTGCTGCTGCTGCTGCTGCCTGTCATCCGCACATCATGCTTCTCCTTCTCCGACATCTACGATGTACACTCGTAAAAATTCAATGCTCTGCGTACACTCGTAAAAATTTATAACGCACATTTCCAGCGGCCATCAGCGGCACTCTTCGCTGTTACGGGTGAGGGTCCTCACATTTTGCTGTCTCTTCACCGCCGCATTGCTGCTGGTTGTCCTGCAAAAGATATTAAGCATAAAAGTCAGCAAATATGATTTCTCTCCATTTGATTTTCAATAATTTAGCGTCTGGGAAAATTGCATAAATTTGCAGCATATGGTTTCGCCCGCATACATCGGTTGCCATCACCATTTACAATCGAAGATTTTCCCACCGTAATCAAATCGCTGGAGCCCGCTGGCTGTCTGCCTATGGTGGCCACAATTGATGACTAAGCAGCGCAACGGAGCACCGAGATTCAAATCAAACTCCAAAATGCTAGAAAATTAATTAAACTCATGGAAGGGAAGAGGCAGAGCCAGAGCCAGAGACAGAAGCAGGGGCAGGCAGCTGCGGTTTGTTCAATGCACAAATTCCCATGCCACAATGTCTCTAGGGGAGAAAATATAGTTTCTTATCAGGAGTTAAGGGCTGCCGCTTGCGGCTTGCCAAAGCGTGTAATGCGTGCCAGGCATATAGACATGCACTTTATCATATGTATGTGGCCACCCACACCCCTCCGTTTGCTTCCGTTTCCGCTTTAGAGAATCCATGAGGCGTTAAACGCAAACTAAAAGCTTATGCACACACACACACACACACACACACACACACACACAAAACACACACATGGTTGCCCCATGCCACTGCCTCATCATGCGCCATGTCATTTTTTCTAGTGAGGCGTGTGCCGCGCTTTTACTCATTGATAAATGATTGATTATCAATCCCAACGAGTGGGTATCCATACGAGTGCGTGGGTGTGAATGTGAATGAATGGGTGTGGTGTGGTGTGTGCGGTTGCTGCGGTTTTTCTTGGCTTAGCACAAAAGTTTAGTGTTTGCTTTTAGTTTATCTTTAATGGATTACTTTAGTGGTGGCTACGAGCCGTCAACGAGCAGCAAAAGAACACCACATCGTGCCACAAAATAACAAAAAGGAAGCTTGACCAATGGCATATCCAGCTAAGAAGGCAAAGAAAATGTTCTTGGTATTATCTTTAGCTCTTAGAGTATTCTGTAGCTAGTTTTTGGTTGATTTGATGAATCCTAGTATACCCTTTCCTTCGAGTGTCATAATCGTTCCCATAATCCGCTCAAGGCCCAACCCAATCTGTACCCTCCGCCCCCACACCACACACCTTCTGTGAAGAGGACACCAATATCATATAATTTATGTGTTTTGCCGCCGTCAGTCTTCCCCACGCTCCACTCCACTCCCCACCCGAACCCATGTGACTAAGCTGATTTCTTGTTTTCTTTTCTCTTCTATCTGTCTCTTCGGCTGTCTGCTGGCCGTTGTCTGGGATGCCAGCTGTTTTGTTTCCATTTTCATTTTCATTGGCATTGAATAGATCAATCATGGATGGGCTTTGCGGTCTATGGGGTACCGGCCTCTCGTACAAATAGCCCCCAATGATGACCAATTATTCACCAATAAAACTGTCGGCCAAATGTCATGAATTGAACTTTTACTGGCTCTTACGCGGCAATTCGAAATTCAATCTCAAATTGCTGGGAAAGTGAATTTCGAAAGCTCGAGGAATCAATTAAGGAACGGCAAATAGAAACATATACTTCTACGTATGTGTGTAAATGTCGTTCCACTAGGACGCACAATGACGTGACGTGGACTGTGTCAACGCATTTCCGGTCAGAGAAGGAACACAATCGATTTGATGCAAAACTGTTGAATGACATCCGTTTGATTTTTTTACGGTCTAATTATACAGATAGATGCATCATTATCGATGTCTTTTAATAGTTTTTAACATAAATTGATAGCTGCCTGTGATCATTTATGGGTGCCATCGATTGTATCTAACATTTGTCTGATTTAATGTCTTTTTTCGGTGTTATCCATAATTTATCCATAAATTAATTTTTAACTGCCAACTAATTTGTTTTCCAAATAAACTTAGACCTCTAACTTCTCAATTTCTTTGTTTTTCAATCCTTGAAGAGCTCTTGAAAATAGTTCCCAAATTTTATGACCTATTTGTAAGTTTCTCATATGTAAGCAACTTCAATAAATACAAAAACTTGCCCAATAAATCCGTCAAAAACATATTACATTTTTATAACCAACTTAAATGCCAGCAATAAACGCTGCTGCTGTTGCTCCTACTGTCACGACTCCCTTCTAGCCCCTCGCTATATACTCCTCTCCTCTGCCTAGTATGCCTCCTCTTCTATGGCCAAACCCTTTCACTTTCCGACCCATTGGCGCTGTGCATTTTTTTGGGGTCAAAGTTTGTCAAGGGGCTTGATTTGTTTTGCTTTTGTTTCGGTTTTTTTCGTATTCGTTTCTGTTTAATTTTTGTATCTTCCGCCCACGCAGGGCACACAGCGGGGCACACAATTTAATGCAACATCATCGAGAGCGACAGACGGCAACGGCAAAGGCAACAGCAACAGCAACAAAAACACCGAATGGACTTGTTGTCGCTCGATGCAGCAGTTGTTGGCTTCAATCAGAGACAAACACACACAAATTGATATTGTGGGGGCGTTGTCGTAACGCATTTTATATAAAGATTTTTTCTCGAATTTAAATACCCTGGAAGTTGTAGATGGATCCTCAAGGTATATTGATTACTGGCTCCACATCCAGGCAGCACAATAGCAACATTTCTGGGTTATCATAGGGAAAAAACTACTGAAAATCGAACTCAATCCGAAGGAACTGAATTTTTCCATAACTTTCACTTTGAATCGGAATAATGGGTATCCTCTAGTCGCCCAATCTCTCACTTCTTTCTGTTTCCCTTTGGGGGTTCCTGCTCTTTTATATCGTTGGTTGGGGCCTCTTTTTGTTTGGGGCAAGCTTAATTTGTTGGATGGCCCGCCGTTTGTTTTAAACGCTGTCATTTTCAATCGATCGAGAGCCTTGTCTCCGCCCGCGGATCGTGCTTGACTCTTGGCCTCTGGGCCCCAAAGCGCAACAATTGTGAGAGGTGTTGCCTGGCAAATCACATCGCGGCTCAATAAGCGACACAGGCAAATTACTCGTACAATTGGCCACACTCCTCCCGCCTCCCGTCACCCATCTAAATGCTGCAGCAAACAGCAATTGCAACACGTCGCCAACAGCTGTGTCGCGGCGGCTGTCTGGCCATTTATTTATCTTACATCGCGACTGTCACTCCGTCCTCCTGTCTGTCCCCCTCTCTTTTTTTGGGGACACGCGGCGTATGCGCAAATGCCATTTAATTAAAAATTATTTGCACATTGAGCGCACAATTTTTCGTTGATTTCATTTATCATTTTCATTTTTTAGTTGGCGTGCAGGTGCGCGCCACGGCGGAAACGACGCCAAAACACATAAAATGTTCACACGCTCTCTAGATGTGACTCTCAGACTCCCAGACTCTGCCTCTGCCTCAGCCTCAGATTATGCTTTGGAGTTGCCTCCGAGCTGATGGTAATTAAGATGACAGCACAGTCGTCTCTCTGGGGCAGGTCTACGTACACATCTAATTATAATCATTAGCCAAACAAACCGGGAAATATATATTCCCTTTGCATAGCCCCGAGACCAGAAATAAAATAGGAAAAAGAACGAATACTCTTCAAAGTTTATCAATCGTTTATCCAGCTTATCGATCATATTTTGTTCATATATTTCATACATGGAATGACGTTTGGTTGCCGCTCAATGCAATTCTTGTTGCAGGCTGCAGAACAAAGAAACAAAAACAAAAATGCTTTTATGGCCAACGGAAATGATTCCTTGTTGCGAAAAATTATAGTAGGTATCCCCTCCCTTGGCAGGGCATTAAAAGCGAAACCAAATAAATGGCAACTCTGATGATGGAAGCCCGGAGTGGCATGGGCGTCTTCATTAATGATAGGAAGTAGGCCGGAGACAAACAAAGAGAGAAAAGGGAGAAACAGGGGGGAAAAGGAGAGAAAAAGCCGTCAAAATCCATTTGACAACATGAAATTGCTGTTTCAAGACCAACTGCCAAACGAAGGCGAAGTCGAAGTCGAAGCCGAAGCCGAAGTCAAAGCCGCTGGAGTCGCCACTGTGGGGCATTAATGCCAATGGCTAATTAACTTGTTGTTGAGCTCGTAAAATAGTTTGGTCGCTCATCAAGATAATAAAGGCCGGGCCGGGGCCAATTCACCGACGGAACCAAAGTTTTTGGTCTTTAATTGAGCACCGAAAAAATATATAAAATAAAATAAAATTGTTGACTTTTGGCCGCTCTGGTGGCGTCAGCTGCAAGAATGACCTGCACGCCGGCCAGCTACTGTCAACAGAGCAAACCTGAAAAAGGAAACTGATGAGCAACGGACAGCACAAAGATATAGATACAGATACACTAAGAGAGAGCGAGCGAGAGAGCGGGAGAGACACATTACTGCAGTCACTTTTGGTAATTAGATTTTCAAGTCGAGATAATGAAGTGGACATTAAAATTTTACAACCTCCAAGGAACACCGAACACACCCGGAGGCATGCAGCACCGCTCGGAACTCCAAAAGCCGGTGAACGAGCGCATTCAATAAATTAATTAGGAATTTCCAACCTTAAATGTCGAGCTAGAACCTAGCCCCTTTTTCCAGGTGGCAGGGGCAAGCAGCCACACCCTACAATAAATATTGGAAACCATTCACACACATGTCTCTCGCTCTCTATGCTCTCCGTAATATATAGTATGCATGGCTCCAATTAAACCACAATTGTTGTGTAAACTTTAAGGAATTGATTGCCCAGACACGGAGCACCCCAATAACAGGTCTGTCCACTGCCACATGCATACGGCATAAATGCACATGTGTGTGTATGGGTGTGTGTGTGTGTTCATGCAGCAGCAGCAGCTACAAAATCTGTTGCCAAGTTGGTCAGCAATTAACTGGCAATTGACTCGAAAAGTGGCCAGGCCTCCACTCTGGAAATTGTATTAGGACACGGACAGGGACACACTCTACACACGGCATATGAATATTGAAAGTTATTGCAATTCCATATTTATTGTCTGGGAAGGAAGCAACTATGTAAATCTTTCTCTC